AGTGGGACACCATCTTGTCTGAGCTGAGCCACCTTTGTCCCTGCTTTAGCAAAGAGCAATAAGGGCTTACAAAAGCTTTGTGACCTGCATGGGGTTGCAGATCTGACCCTGATCCTTAGCCTGTCTGGTGCCAAAGCCCAAGTTCCTCACAGAATGACTCAGAAGGGTTCATCTCCCTGACTGAAAGAGTCGTGCATGGGCTCTCTGCAGCTGGCTTTTATCTGTGAGCTTGAAGGATATGGTAAAGATGAACAGTGAGGGTAGCTCTTACCCTAGAACTCAGATGCCAGCTTCCAGACGAAAGGGCGGTAAGCAGGAAGGCATCTTTTCCTCAACACCTAGCTCCAGACCACAGCTGGCCTACATCCTCCATTCCTAGGAGTCTCGAGGCTCCCCTTCCTGGCTTCTCATCTGCAGTTCTTTGTGAAAGCTGGAGGCCCACATCAGAAAGAAAAGATCCGCTGTGGACAATGACACACTGCTAAACATAGCTCTGTACATTTGAAAATGAACAATGTGTAAAAGCCTTGAAACATTTTTTCTTTGATGTGAATGGAGTCTTCAGCATTTCGAAATACAATGCAATGAATTAATTGCTACTCATTAGGCAGCAAGTCAGGCCAGTGCTGAATATGCCTTCCCTCCTCCACAGCGGCTATGGCCTGACCAGAATTGCCCCTTTTGTATTTGCTCCCACCTTCTACACTGATAAGCAAATTAGAGATCCTGGCTAGAAAACATTCAAGTGCCCCATCCTTTCCCCAGACCACCTTATGTTTCTGTGATGTTTATCTGCTCAAGAGTCATGGCTGATTATTGCAGAGGTCACGTGAATGAATCCACACTGTGCGCGATTAGAAACAACATCCGCAAAAGTAATTCTTAGAGAAGTATTTTTTCGTGTTTTGTCTTTTTCTGCTGGGAAAAAAAAATGTGGATTTTCAAGTAAATTGCTGTTTTCCCTCCCTTGAATTACAATTTTATATTGCTGGGGAAAATATGTTTGCAGGAAAGCATTTAACAGCTCATGACAGCTCTTTTACTCCATGGTCTCTGTGACTTTATGTGTATTTTTCCCTGCAATGTTACTAATATTTCCATATGAATTTCTGAGATGATAGTTAATGAATAAATTGGCCTGTTAGATGGTTTATCTATACACACTGTATATTCTGTATACTAGAACTTTGCAGGCTATCTCTATATGCTGTGTGTAGCATGCTTTTCATTAATGGACGGCAGCTGTGATACACTGCATATGAGAGCATGCGTTCTCTTTGTTTATTATCCTCAAAGTTTGTCTGTTTGAGAGACGAGGTCATTTGCAAACCAACTGGGTGCTGGCAGAGCAATGAGAAAGGAAGGATCAATAGCCAGAGGCTAGTTCATACAGGCTCCTCTTCATCCATGTGCATTCACATTGCTGCCTTCTCAACATGTATGTTACATACAGGCGTTTCCCTAACACCACATCCACTGTGATCATGACGGAGAGGCAGTCAGCAGAACAGAGAGCTCAGCTTCATGAAATGTGAAAGCCTGTTTACTTACTAACAGTTTGCAAGGTTCCAGGCCGAGGATTTTGAGTGACTCAGCCTGCTGGACTAGACAGGGCCAGTGAGGCAGTTGATTGTGTATGGCATCAATTGTATGGTGAGGAAGAGAGGGTGGATAATGAGACTTACCTCTAACCCAGAATTTACCAGCATCTTTGGGCCGTGTGTGCCACTCTGGGAGTTTAGCAGGTCACAGGCTCAAGAGGAACAGAGTATGAACTTGTCCTAGGATTTCCTCCTGAGACTTTTATTCTTCTCCTGTGTTCCTGAACACACACACACACACACACACACACACACACACACACACACATTCCTGGTGTCTAAGTCAGGCAGAGTATAACTCAATATTGACTTCCTGCAGTGTTCCAAGATAAAACAGTTCTTTCACCTTTTGTAAATCTCATCCTCATCTCAGAAACATTGAGAGATACAAATACATCTTCGAGTGAGATTAATTAGGTGTTTGAGTGTAGCTCACATTTCTTGCATGCACCAAGACTTACTTACTGGGTCCACCAGCTCCTCTTCTTTTTTTTTGAGGGTGAGAGGAGCCAACAGATAAAAGGCCAAGATATTATCCCGTAGTGACACGGGCAGGCAATTTACCCAGGTTTGACACTTAGGGTGATAATTTTTCCAAAGCCAACCTCGGGTCTCAGGGCTGTAAATGACAGCCGAGAGATCATCGTTCTCAACTCCCATTTCAGGGTAAGAGGGTGTACGGACAAGCTCTCACCCTGATTTTCACAGAGCCCTGCCAGTGCTTATTATCTGTCTCCAGGGTTACTTTAGATTTTCTGTCCCCTGCCCCAGCCACACATAACATAGCCTTTTAATTTTTACATGTATATTGTAGATGAAGGGCCATTGCTGTGAAAGTCAATGAATAGGTAGGAATCACGAGAGAGGACGTTTTAGTCCATTTACAGAAAATTGCCCATTCTCAGGCAGGTGGGTCAAGTGCAGGAGCCACTACTTGAGGTAATATTTCCATCCCAGTCTTAGCTGCCTGTCCTGACAGACAGAAAGCCAAGAGGTGCCCAGGTCTGAACAAACTATTTAGTTGCTGCTGGTCATTAGTTCAGTGGCCGTATGGAATTTTATGTGCTGGTTATAATGGAATTCATCAGCCACCCTCATAGTTACAAATGCACACATTTATAATGGAACCAGAAGATGTAAGATATGAAGGTGAAATTCTTAATAAGAAAATAAAAGGTGCCATGTGACTTGCCCTAGGTAGGGAAGAAGCCAAGGCACTTGACTTCCCAACAGTGGCTGCTTCCCTTCCAGAAAGCACTGGGTGCTAGAGAAATCACAGAAAACAATTGCTCTTCTCTCCTGCCTCTGAACTTTGTTTTTATTTATGACCCGCCAGACAGAGCGACCAGTAGTCATTAAGCAGATGAATTAGGTCATGTTCTGAAGCTCTGAGAGTCAAGCAGCACACCCACCCTGCTGATTTCCTTGTTTCAGAAAAAGGGAGACTGTGGCTGGTGAGATGACTCAGCAGGTAAAGGCACTTGCTCCCAAGCCTGATCTCTGTAGAGGCAGGGACTCACACAGTGCAGAGAACCAGCTCCCACAAACTGTCCTCTGACTCTGAATGTGGGTACATACATACCTAGTAAGTAAATGTTTCCAATTTTTTTAAAAGGAAAACTATCAGTCCTTCATGGATATTTTGAAGACCTTTTTGAGCCTGCCTAGCAAAGAGAAATGTTCCAGCAGGTCCTCATATCAATAGGTCTTAAAGATTCAAGAATTCTCTGGACCTGGGCTATGGTTTTTCAGGTTGCCCCACTAAAATGTACCAATCATATTCCACACTTGGTCAGCATCTAAGAAACTCAAGAACTCGTAGGTCTCTGAGAGGCTTCATGGCTTTCTCATGAAACAGAGCCAGGTCCTGAAGCAATTTTGTAGTTAAGAATTCACACCAGCCAGGCAGGATAGAAATCTGGGCTTCTCTTTTCCAAACTACCCCATTCTGGGGCCCAAAGAGAATGTGAAGCTTGGGGAAGGCACCTGTGGTGGTTCTTCTGTCATTACCACAGTCTCAGCAAATTACCCCAGAGAGCTTTTATAACCTCTCACCAGGGGTTAAGTGACTTCAGGGCTGGAGTCCAATGTGATGGTCTCAAAGAAAACCCAGCCTGTGTGGATTGCTGTCAGGCCTTCCTTACTGTATAGAGCCATGCTTACTGCTCATCCATTCCCTGCTAAAGGGATGGGTGGGGCCAGCTGAAGCCACAGGGCTTTCAAAGTGAGCTGACTGGCACTGACACCTGTGTGTGCTCAGCTAGGCTCTGCTTTAGGATACATCTGAATGCTTCCAGTCTATAATAAAATTCCATTTTCGTGCACGTGTGTGTGTGTGTGTGTGTGTGTGTGTGTGTGTGTGTGTTAGACAGACTTCATGTTAGAGGTTTGACTGGCTAGCTAATCAAGCCTGGCTTGAAAGAGTGCCTGCTAGTGAGGAGCTGTGAAGCACCATTCCTAGTCACCCTAGGCCATTCTAGCAGGGACCAGCAAGCAAGCAAGCAAGCATCCCTAAGCTTTCATTGTGTCCTTGATGGAGAAGGTGCCATAGCATGGTAGATGTTCCCAGTGGGCAGATACAATCTGGAGAGCAGACTCGGGCTCCCTAGCTCTCAAATACAAAGCCCAGAAATGTAAAAATGCATGTTTAGCTCCTCCTCCTTCCCTTTCCCCTCCCCCTTCTCATTCTTCTTCTCTCAGAAATACTCCGTAATAGAATATTTTTATTCTTTGAGAATCTGTCTGTTGATTTTTCTTAAAGAAAAAGTTTCCTGTCGTTCCTGGTGTGCTGGGGCAAAGTGCTGTCCGCACTTTGAAGAATTCAATGTGTCCTTGCCAGAAGCTTCCAGAATTGTTTTCTAGTCTGATTCTTTTTCAAGCTTCTCTTGACTTTCCCTTTGGCAGCCTGGCCTGTTTGTTCCTCATCTTTGGTTAGCTATGCAAACATGGAAGCTGCCTCCTGTCTGGCATTTCTGTTGTGTCTCAGCCACTGTCCTCACTGTAGACTCTTGAGTGGCAGCTGGGTGGGAGGCACCTCAGTTTCCATTTGTGTCACTACTTTGTTCCTGCTCCAGTGACCTCTGGGTTCTGAGTGTAGACCCTCAGCGCTGAGTGCGCTCTTGGGTCCTGCCACATACAAGACCTGACCATTGCTCCATCTATAGTGGGGACACCACAGAGTCCCACAACCAGGGAAGTTGGGTGGTCAGTGGTGGCTCTTAGATAGCATCTGGATAGCATACTCCTAAAGTATAAGAATTGACACATTCGCATATACATTTTTTACGGCACACAAATGTTGTGTTTATATACATATGTTTTTTTTTTTTAACTGAAGAAGAAAAGTAACCCTGCCTTTGTATGTGATCCTTTTAACAAACTGTTTATTATTGTATCCAGGTAACAAGCATGGTAAGTATGTTCTCTAAACAGTATTCTGTATTTTAGCTGTGCTTGGCAGAATTTGTTTTTTCTTTTTTCTTTTTTCTTTTTTGGCTAGCTTTATGTTACCAATCTTGGCTTTGTAGAAAAGATCCATTTTGGAAAGGAAACACTGTAGCATCCCCACACTCTGAGCTTTGGTAAAGGAACCACTGTGGCCTTAGCCCCATAGCATGTGCCCCGCCCGACAGCATGCTGCCCGGCTGCTCCCCTGCCCACCTGCTTCTTTTTGAGCTGCCCCTCTACAGATGTCTGCCACGGTTCCTGGGCCTTGAATGACCCCAGCAGGGGCCTGGCACTATGGCCCAATGATAGCAGTCACCCAAATAGTCCTCTCTTCGATCTGTAGATGGCCGGCCCTACCCCTGCTGGTGACCTTTCACTTGAAAGTAGAGTCACCCCTACCCCTGGCATGATAAGCCCTTGAGAATTCTTCTGGAAGTAGAAACAATGATTATATTGTTTGACTTCCTATCATTGGAAAAATGGATCAAGGATTTAAAACCCAACCTGGCCACTAGCTGTTGCCTGCTAGTAGCCCTAGTTCTGTAAGCCAAAGGCACTGCCTCCTGGCCGTTGTTGATTTCTCTCTGTGCATGTGTGCTTTCATGGCCCCTGTGTGGCTCTGTATTGTAGTCTTTGTGCTCGTGGCTGTACTGTTTAACCCCCATGGTAGACATGTGTTCTCTATTAAGTCAGTGTGTCACTGTCATCTTCAAGGATCAGACTGCCAAGGACAAGGCCCTGCAGCACATGGCTGCCATGTCATCAGCCCAGATCGTCTCGGCTACTGCCATCCACAACAAGCTGGGGCTGCCTGGGATTCCACGCCCCACCTTCCCGGGGGGACCAGGGGTAAGTTAATACCCAAATCCAGGAATGATGGCCACCATGGGTGTGATGGCACAGCTACTCAGGAGGCTGATTTAAGAGGATCACAAGTTTGAAAGCCTACTTGGGCTATATAGTAAGTTCAAGGTCAGCCTGTGCAACTTGATGCAACCCTGTCTAAAACTAGGGTGAAATGGGACTGAGGATGTGGCTCAGTAGTAGAGCACTTGCTAGTCATGAATGAGGACAATCCAGGGTGTCACGGAATAAAAGATGGTAGGTAGGTGATAGATAGATAGATAGATAGATAGATAGATAGATAGATAGATAGATAGATAGACAGAGAGATAGATAGACAGACAGAGAGATAGATGATAGATGAATACATAGAATAAAAGATAGATAAAGGGCTGGAGAGATGGCTCAGTGGTTAAGAGCACTGACTGCTTCTTCCAGAGGTCCTGACTTCAATTCTCAGCAACCACATGGTGGCTCACAACCATCTGCAGTGGAGTCTGATGCCCTCTTCTGGTGTGTCTGAGGAGAGCAGAGGTGTACTCATATACATAAAATAAATCATTAAAAAAAGAAATTTATAAAAAAGATAGATGAAGGACAAATAGAAAGATGGTAGGTTCATAGATGGATAATTGACAGGTGGTAGATACTCAATGGATGGACAAAGGGCAGAGAGATACGGTAGAAAAGGAGAGAAGAAAAGGAAGGAGAAGTGGAGAGAAAGAAAGGAAAAGAGAAAAAAATGGAAATAAGACGAAGAGGAAAATAGTGAAATTTAAAGACATGAGATTAAATACCTTGTTTGTGCAGTCCCATTTAGTCACAACCTACCTGCTCTTTTATTCTTTTTCTTGGTTCTTGGTCTCAGTCTCTATCCCTATATTCTCAGGGTTACGTTATAGTAACCAAAACCCACAGGGGCACAATGTTCTTTTTAATATTTTCATTTGTCAGCTCCCAAAGGCTGAGAAGCTATCTGTTACATCTTCTTCATCCCAGAGCCATCTTCAGTAGTTTCAGTTTTGTGACCATTTTACAGATGACAAAGCTGGGGTTACTCATTCTGAGGCACCATTATATGTGACTTGGTCATTTAGATAAGCAGTGATGTCAGTATTCTGCCAAAGGCCTTAGGTATGCTCACAGCAAAGATTAGTGAGTGTCCTAGTTGCTTCTCCACGCTTTGATGTCTTTGTTTCAAAGTGTATGTGTTGCTCCATTGGACCTTGGGAGTTACATAACTGTAGGGTATGCAGGAGGCCCTTGCAGAATAAACTGAAGTGCTTCTACATTGCCTCTTGGCCTTAGGAGAGTTTTCAGGGCACAGTGGCTAAAGGAAGCTCCCTGGGGTAGGCTATGGTCTTGAACACAGCACTGACCACAGCCAAACTGGTATCTACAGCAGCAGCTTATAATTTGAACATGTCACACAGTATGCTTTGATGAGGACTCATAACCCTGAAGCCTTTGCCTCTTGCCTTCCAGTTCTGGCCTGGGATGATACAGACAGGACAGCCAGGATCCTCACAAGAGTAAGTCTTTGAAGGCCCCAGACAACAGAGGCTAGGCAGACCACCCTGGGGGACATTTTACTGTACCAGGCTTTCTCAGGGATTAAGGGAGAAGAGGCAATCAAATGGAAGTCTACCTCTCCTTATGTTCCCATGTTCCAGGACATGGAAAGGGACCCACCTTTGAGAGTTAGCATCTTTGACATATCAATTCCTTTCTCTCACCTGCAGTATTAGCAACGACATAGCTAGACACTTCAATTAGGTCCCTTATCCTTCATGGTTTTGGCTGCAGCACCAGGGTCTTCCTCACCTGAGAGAGGGAAAGCAAAGATACTGTCTCTTTCTGTTGTGGCTGTCTCTGTGATAGGAGTGCCTGATAGAAAAATCCGAGACCCCTTGAATCCAAAGAGCAAGCTCAGCCCACAAGAGCCAAGGGCAGCTTGGGGATAAAGCAGGAAGGAAATTTTCTTTGTATAGGTTTGGCCTAGTGGTCTAGAGACAGGACACCCTGACTCATAGGCTCCTAAACCCTCCCTAGGCCATGACAGCTGACCTTGGTCTGTTTGGGGATGAAAGGTACACTCTATGGTACCTGGTACACTGTGGGAAGCCAGGCTGACCCTAGTTCAGCTTGTCCCACCACATCGTTGGTGGATGTTGTAGGTGTTTCTACCTCAGCAGCCTGCTGAGTAGCCTCTCCTTTGGAAGTAGAAACTTCCTTTAGGTAGATACAGCTCTGTGTGGAATGGGCAATCCCACTGCAGGCAGGGATCCTGGCAGGTGGAATGATGGGAGAGTCCTACTGCAGACCAAGGCCAGGCCTGGGTTGTAGCTGCCACTGCGTCCATAATTTTGACTCTTGTCATCCATTTTTTCCCAGTGTCAAGCCCTTCGTGCAGCAGGCCTACCCCATCCAGCCAGCAGTCACAGCACCCATTCCAGGTGAGTCTCCCTGCTTCTTGGATGAGGAGTCAGGGGCAGCCTGGCTTCCTTTGTCCCAGGAGTGTCCCAGGAGTGCAGTGATATCGGTCTTGCCCACCATCTGCCTCTCTTCCTTTCCTTAAAGGTGGGTCACTTTTGAAGCTGAGAAAAGTCCCAGGCATCTCCTGTCAGGCTCTGTGTGTCTTTACTCTAGAGTTCCTTCTCCTGGGGCCTTGAGAGACAGCTCAGTGGTCAAGAGCCCTGATTGTCATTGTAGAAGACCTGGGTTTGTTTCCTAGTACCCACATGGTGGCGTACAAACATTAATCCAGTTCCAGGGGACAATCAATGTTCTTCTCTTACCTGCAAGCACCAGGCATGCACATGGTGCACATACATATATGCAGGCAAAACGCTTAAATGATAAAAATAAGTAAATAAAAAATAAATTTTAAAACAACCCTTTCCAAGAGCTCCTGTGGGATAGTCAGGAAACAGGAAGCCTGGCCACTTTCACTTAAGACCCTGGGTCCCTCTCACAAGAGGAAGTTGTGGTTACTCTTGTCAGAATCATGTCATTGAGTCAGACACAGATTACTTAAGCTTTCTTAGGTAGTGAAGTTCAGTTCCCTGTTGGTCCCCTCCTGTAAGAGAGAGCTTATGTGCAAGTTCATAGCAGAAACTGAATCTGGCTGACTCATCTGACTCCTTTTCTCCTGAGCCCTGTCATCCATATGTGCATAGGCTCACTCAGCTGAACTTCTTGAGAGAGTGTATAATCCTGGATCTACCCTTTCAGTGCCCCTAGTCCAAAAAATACATTCCACGTTGTCCTGTGTTTCTCTGAAACATCCTGAGGGAATGTTCTATATTGCTGGTGAGCACAATCTTGAGCTAGAAGATGAGCCAGTAGAAGCAGTGCACTATGGGTCTTGGCTTCATGGGATGCCTTCACAAATGTTTCCTCCATTCTTAGCATGTTCCCCAGGCAGACCCTGTTACCCAGCATTAGCTGTCAATTTTAGGTGCTGTGACAAAATATTTATATAGGCAACTGAAGAGAGGAGTGGTTTGTTTGGGTTCGTATAGTTTGAGTGTGTAGTCTGTCATGGTAGTGACGTCATGGAGGGAGGAATGTGAAGCAGCTGGTCACAGTGTGTCCACTGGCAGGAAGCAGAGAGGTGAACACTGATGCTCAGCCCTCTCTGTCTGTTCTATGTTTTTCAGGACCCTGGGATGGTGCTATGCACATTTCGGGAGGGTCTTTCCACTGTTTCAGTTAGACCTCATAGATGGTTTACCATGGTGATGAATCATCACAGTGTCCCCTGCCACAGCTCTTTAACCTTACCTGAAGCTGTCTTCATGATCAGCTTCATACAGTCTGCTTAGCTGTCACTGTCTGCAAAAGCCCCAGCCAGAGTGTCACCCTGCCTGGGTGTCTCACCAATGGAGGGATTTGTCCTTCTCTTCTAGGTCCTCTGTGTTCAGAATTCTGCCCCATTGAGGTCTGAAGGGAGGTGCATGCGCTTGCTTGTGTAAAGGTGACAATTGTTATTTCAGGGTTTGAGCCTGCGTCAGCCCCAGCCCCCTCAGTTCCTGCCTGGCAGGGCCGATCCATTGGCACAACCAAGCTTCGCCTGGTGGAATTCTCGGCTTTCCTTGAACAGCAGAGAGACCCAGACTCGGTAAGTATGCCCAGAGGGGTGTGGCTAACAGGAAGTGCTTCCATGCTTGCTTGTGTCTTCACCCTGTGGTCTGTCCCTTACTGCCCCCATCCCTTATACCCGTGTGACATGTTCTGTATAAAAACATGTGGAGCCTCCAGGCCACATTTCCTCACCCAGCGAGAAGGATGCTTTTGGAAGATATCTTCTCATATTGTCAGATAGGAGAGGTGGATGTTTATTGCCATGTGGACCACAAGCTCCAGGGAATACCTGGGCAGGCCCTCAACAGGCTTGTATCTCATAAAATTTAATAACAGGGAGCGTTTATTGAGCCTTCTTGTGTGACTGATGGGATGTAAAGTATCTGGATACTTAGATAAACCAGGACCCTGAGTTAGTAACTTCTTTAGTCATATAGTTATATCTGTTGGGTTAAAGATTCATCCTAAAAGGCTAAAGGCTAAACAGCCAGTCATCATATTATCTGGCATTTCTAGCTGCGCACCCCCCCCAAAGAAAAAGAAGTTAAAAAAGCAATTATCTTCTTCAGAAGTAATGTTGGTGCTTTGATAGCTACTGTAGACTGCAGTGCCTTGTCATGTTGTAAATACCAGAAACACAGGCATCTGGACTCTATTTGTCATTTTCTTCTTTTCCTTCCCCGCCCACTCCATCTTGTAAGCATCATCCCATGCATATGTGAGCCTCCTTTCTTCTTCCCCCCCATAAGCCTGTACCCTTTGTTCGCGCCCACTCCTTGGCTGTGAGTGTGAGGGTTGCATCTGTGTGTGGGTGAGCCCCAGGCAGCAATTGAAACAATCATGAGTATGTGTTTGGGATCCTCACCAACTCCTTTCTCCACACTCTGTATCTCCCAGCACTGACCTCTTTGGGGGACATGTTAGTTGTGTGGGTCTTGCTATCATCTGATATCAAGAGAAAGAATCAGAGGCTGGGCATGGTGGCACACACAGAGGCAGGTGGATGTCTGTGAGTTTGAGGCTAGCCTGGTCTACATAGTGAGTTCTAGGATAGCCAGGGCTATATAGTGAGACCCTATGAGAGAGAAGTAGGAGAGGGCAGAGAGGAAGGCACACAGAGATGAGCACACAGTTTCATGCTAATGCTGAACATTAGAGGTGACCTTCCACGCCTCTGCTTAAGGCAGAGACACTGTACCACCTGTTATCAAAGCACACTGAGAGTTCGTGTGGGACCTCTGATATATGCCTGTCACTCTGAGGGCTGTCAGAAAACAGGGCTGTGATGAAGTAAAGTGGATAACAGAATCTGAAGCTCTTGAGACCCGAGCAAGGACAAAGCTTCCTGGTGTGTTCTTCTCTAGTGCAGGATGCTGTCCAGGAAGAACGGGCTGCTGGGCTAATAGTCTATACAGGTGGGGGCATTTTGATGACATAGGTCACCTCCTTGTCGTTTTTGCTTGGAGGCTGGCTTGGCCCTCCCTTGTATCTTGTGTTTGTCTCAGAGTTCTTTGCCATGGAATCCATCATTCTCGACTCCTCAGATGGAGTCTGTTTTCCTCAGTTTGCAGATGAGGAAACAGGCCAGGCACATTTGGTGACTTAAGGTATACAGTTAGCAAACAGAAGGACCAGACTGCATTTCTCCTGAAATGTCCTCTCATCACACCAATCCTGAAGGGACTCCTGCACCGCCTGCGTGGTCCTCCGTAGGCCTAGATGAGCCAGGCTCTCCCCCGCTGTGCCTGATTGCCGATGTTTGACTATGCCTAATGAAACACACATCGGATTCCTTGACTATGGTCCTTCAGTGTGGGTAGAACATTCTAGAAGCTTCAGATAAGTAATAAGTGGCTTTATACTTCACTGTTCAGGAGATGATGGCACCATCCTATAGACTGAGCTCCCGAACTGAATAAAAAGGAAGTACTCTGAGGGCCAACTAAACATAGTCTTCCAGGGCCTACTAAGTGCTGATGTAGAATAACTCTTTCCTCATAATTGAAAGTTGCTTGCTTTTCATGTACCGCCCCTGCAGAGAACTCACCCACCTACAACTCCAGTGCCCTCTTCTGGCCATCAAAGACATGTGCACTGAAAGACACATACACATAGAAACATAGCAAAAAGGAAAATCTTTACAAACAAAAGTTACTTGCTCTTAAAATGTCTACTTTCAACGCTAGACATGTAGCTTAGTTAGAGAGGGCTTATTTATTATGTACCTGCAAGACCCTGGGCTCCACACACAGCACCTCAACACTGAGACAGTTTAGTTTCAGGTAATGAAAATACTTTCTAATGTATCTTGATGTTTCTGACTTGGGGTATGGCATTTTGTAATTTCAGGTTTCACCAACTAAAATCATAATTCTGTGTTACCTAGTCTCATTTCTTTGCACACCCATTTTGCAGTTGAATGTGTACAGATGAGTACATAGAGGAGGCTCAGTTGGTAGAGTGCTTGCCTAGCATGCTGGGTCTCATTGCCAGCACCATGTAACCGGAACATGATGGTGTGTGTATTTGGGGAGTAGAGACAGGAGGATCAGAAGTTGCGTGTGTAGAGGCTGAAAATTGTGCATCTTTGATTTTAATGGAAACATGAGGGCTCTTTGTACTGGAGGAGGAAAGTGGTGATTGACTCATTGAAGTGAAAGGGAATTATCCTAGTTATTTAAAACATCTAACAACATCTCAAGCACACCAGCCTTTTCAATGACTTCACTAGGCAAATGCGCTGTGTTGTCCCCTGATAGGCCCGAGTGCTCCTTCAGAATTAAGGTTAAGCTGAAAAATTTGAAACATGTGGATGATTTCTTCGGTTCTTGAGACTTTCTGTGACTTCTGATACATTAATTTCATTGCACTTTGGTTCTAAGATAGAAACATTAAGGTCATTTAAAATGCTCCGTCGGTATATTTAAAAAACATTTGGAAATAGTTAAAATTTAACATGAAACCATTAAACACAGTAATTTGATAAGGAAACCAGCAAAGTGGCCAGTAATTTAAGGACCATAACCAAATTAAATGTTGCAGTTGGAGTTTCTAGGTCTTTGCTCCATGCAGCTTGCAGGTGTATTTCTTCTGTTTCTCTGCAGCAACACTGGCTCATTTAAATCACGAGGTAGTAATGTACTCTCAGTACAGGCTCAGGAGATGGCTCTAAGCTTAGGAATACTGTCTGCTCTTGCAGAGGACTGGTGTTCACAGCCACCGTATCAGCCAGCTCACCAGGGGTCTGTAGGCACCTGTGCTCATGTGTACATCCCTACACAGAGACAGATTACATGTGCATATACATAATTGAAATAGAATAAATCTTAAAGAATATTCACAGTAGGAGAACTTCTGTTCTCACTAGAGTAAAAAACAAGGCAGTCAGTGATGGTGACTTACTCTGTAGCTCGACACTGGAATAGGTCACTACCTCTTCCTGGATAAGAGGCTTGAAGGGGATTTTATCTGATAGGCAGCTTTGAACCCTGGTCTTCTGTATCATGATTGCTTAGCTGCCTAAGAGCATGGGACCTAGCCTGCCTCCCTGGTACAGGGCTGCACAGTCAGTACCAGCCTTGTTTGAAACCCCACTGGCTCACCACACGACACTGTTGTCATCCCTGAGGACTTCTCAATTTTGTCACTGTCATATGGACAGTGCTAGTTTCATTAGCGCTTATGACCAGTGCCTCTTAAAGCTTTCCTATGTGCCAAAACTATCTGTTAGCCTATGTAATCCTTATGAAGTAGTTTGTCTAATGTTAGACTGCCACCTGATACTCGAAATGGGATTCATATCCACGTCAGATGACTCTGAGTCCTAAGATTGTGACCAAAAGGCTGTCTGGTCCATTTATGTCTGAGGAATCGCCTGTGTTCATGACCCAAGGCTGTGAGGCTCTAATGGAAGAATAAAGGATAGGTGCACGCCCCCTGCTGGCTCCGGGTCCTGTGTGCAGCAGATGGCAGCACTTCCCCAAGTTGGTGGTTGTTTGTGTTGGTAGAAAACCAGCAAGGCAGTCCCTCTGTTACCTTTGGCTCCACTAGAAGCTGAGAGAAAAACAGCAGAGGGTGAAGAAAAGAAGGAAGAACCTAAAAAACAAAGACTGTTTTAGAAATGGTTGGGGATGTCTGAAAATACACTTTCTACATGGTTTCAGTGTTGTGCATCAAGGGGCTTGAAGAAGTGCAAGCTCCTGCATGGTACCGGGCAATTTAAAGGGCCAGTCCTGGAATCAGGGCCGGTGTCTTGAGGGAGTGTTTGGCAGTTGTTTCCTTGTATACACACAATCCTGTAGTAGGTGTTCTGTGTGTGCCTGCCTGGTGAAGCCTGGGTAGTTCCTCAGTCCCCGCCCCACCTCAGTCCTGGGACATGGAAGGTTCATTTAGTTGAGCGTTGCCCCTCTATTCACCTGCAGCACAACCCCTCCCTGTCAGTCCTCCCCCAGTGCCAGGCTCTGTGTTTCATGTCCGCCATGGTCCGAGTGCCCGAATGACCAGGAGCTGAGAGCAGGTAAGGAGAGTATGCAGGGTTGCTTGGTGACAGCTGTATTAGAGAAGGGGACACTAAGAGAGGACATGTGGTCCAGCTCTCTGATGTGCCACTGGAGCACCCTTGGCCAGGGTAGGCCCTCCTGAGTTTGCCTTTATGTACCTGTACAGTACACTGGCCCTTCCTTATCCTCACCGCTGTGCTAGGCATTTTGCCCCGGAAGTGTGAGCCGTCCAGGAGAAAGGCTGTGGGTGATCCCAGTTTACAGCTCAGCACTCTTCGAAGCTAGAGAAACAAAGAGTGTCCTTACCTGAACTCTTCCTCCTCACTTTAATGACATCTGTATTACATACAGAGATTGGATTCCTTGACTTCTAATCAGCAGTGTGAGCCTGTGTCCAGGCTTTGATGTAGGGTCTCTGAGTAGCTATCTTAATTACATTTTGGTGCTGTCTTTAGGCAGATTGAACAATGCCAAAGTGTTTTTTGAACTGGTCTTAAAATGGTCTCATGGGAAATAGGACCACATGGTGGGTAGTGAG